TAAATTATTATTTATTCAAATTATATTTCGTTTGTAGGGAAACTAACTATCTATTTCTCTCTCTCTCTCTCTCTCTCTCTCTCTCTCTCTCTCTCTCCCATATAGAAATAAGGAATAAGAAAATAATAAGAGTGGAACATGCAGTAGTACATAACGACAACTCTGAAATTAAACATAACTATAGATAGCTTCCTAAATTAATTTATAAATGAACTCGTCGTTTTTATAATATTTAATAGCGACGAGAGATGATAATATACTGGCGATGTATTTAAATAATAGCAGTTAATAATAAGAACTACGTGAACCAACAACTTAACCCATCGAAAGCRTAATATATAATATTGACTAAGAGCGCAAAACAATTTTCCACAGGTAAAACTTATTAAAAGTGATTTACAATAATCAACCGTAGAACATTAAACGATACAGAACTAAAATGTAATTGAATTTAATGATGAACGTTTAATATTTCGATACAACTCATATAGTAGGTAATTAAACCGTACGATGGGGGCTGGAGGAGAAGTACTGGCACCATAGTTCCTCCTCCAGTCCTCGATACCATAAGGAAAAAAAAAAAAAAAAAAAAAAAAAAAATTACGTGATTAAACCGATAAAACCGCATTCGAAAAACTTATTTTATATACTTTACTTTCTGTTGAATTTAGTTTATTGATTCTTATTTGTAAATAATAACACCTAAATATGATATTAAAAATATTTAAGAAAAACGAATTTAATACGTTTTTGTGCTTAAGGTTTTTAAAAATCTAAAAACAATCAAATTCTCAATGTGTGGATATATTATAAATACTTATTTTTAATGGATGTACGGGTTATAGATATATGAGTAACTTTTGGAACACTATCTTAAACTATATAATTATCTACAAAACTGCTCAGTGTGTTCAAATGATTTAGATTTAAATTAATTTAAATTAAAAAATTAAAATAAAAGATTTGGAATAAATAATATGGCACTATACCGAATGTGGTRAAATATAAATCCCACCGATGACTGATAAACATATATTACACAGAAAAAYATTATTATATATACCTATACCTACCACATTTGTATACGAGTATATATATATTTTTTTTTCTTTTATAAAGATACCTAGTAACGTAAATTTAAAAACATATATATAACGCGTAAAAGAATAATATAACAGGTATGCAGTAGGTATTCATGAAGTATTATTAAATAAAAAATTTACCTAACAAAATTTATGTTTTTATGAAAAAAAGGTATAGATGTTGGACGTGGTATGTTGAAATAATGTACTAACTCWAAATGYATTATTGGGATTATGCTAAAGTTATTAGGTGTGTACCCGCGCATATATTGAATGTTCAATACATTTGGAGTGCAATTTATATTGTACTGGAATAACACGATGTCTGTCTGATACAAAAAAACCCGACACCAGAAAGCGCTACGCTAATAATACACGCCAGTATTGATATCTCTAGCTCTATTATATAGTAAACGTTTATTCGGAACGTCGAATCAGACGTGAAAACGAGATAGCCATTCCAAACGACGGATTTAAGTATTAAGTACTTACATTTATTTATATATATATATGGTGTAACGCCCCAGATGAAAAATTGCAACAGTCATTTGGGTCGATCGAATACAAACACTCGAAACACACACACATACACACACAACGGACATATAAATATATATACATATATACATATATACATATATACATATATACATATACATATACATATATATATATATATATATATATATATGCTAGAACTAAGTGTATAATATTAAAGGTTACGTGAGGTATAGGTGTATATATTCAATAGTTCGATGCCACAGGAATCTCAATAAAACTCAATGACTGATGCTGTATTCGATGAATACCTATACGATCGAACCATTATTGTATATATATTATATGGTTTATTTATACAGGATGATTCACCAAGCATGCTCACCTTCTCTTTTAATAATGAATTCATTCAAATTCTGTTTTTTTGGAATTTTGCAATCTATAACTGGACCTGCAGTTTTTCAAATTCTTGAGACTCATTTGAGGTACTTACTTAAACAGTGTCCTACGACGACACAAATCCACGTTTTTAAAATCAGAACCACGCCTTATTATTTTACTATAAATTATTCAGAACATATTTATTTYTTAATAATGATGAAGGTATCTAATAGAAACTCTGTTATACTAAATGTAAGAGATTAAAGCCGTTAAAAATGGTTTATAAAAACTSCTCGTTCAAATTTTGATTTTGACACACCAAAGTSTTTATAGATAAATAATTATACGCTAATTATCGTTAATTTACACAAATACTCTGTACTTGTGTARTAAAAAAATCTAAAGAATTTTAAAATATGATCTCATACCTACTAATAATTAAAACTTCCAAAAATCAGATTTTATACTGCATTATTGAAAGAAAAAGGGGTGGTAAACACGCTTGGTGAATCACCCTGTATACATATATACAGACAATAGCACTTACAACGTTTTCTGTCTCGTCTTCTACCCACCGATTCTAACTACAATCTGTAGTTCGCCCGTTATACCACAAGTTAATGGAGTTTTCATTTCATCTCGTTGGTTGTGCTTCCTCGTATATGTATATTCCATATGCACATATTATATTATATTAAACAGTATTAAACAGGTAATCTGGGAGAATCATACGCGGCGTGGACCCGAACAGGTACACACTAGTTGCGTTTGAAACTTAAGTCCTTTATGCTCTTTCTGTACTAAACTCAAACGTTTAATTTACGTTTATCAGGGCGAATCGATAATACACAAATGGAAATAATCGGATTAAAATTTAAAATAATTTCGAAGAACAAACGCAGGAGTTGACCTATATTTATTTAAGCACGATGTTTAGACACAATCGGAAAAATAAATTATTTGCGATTTCTATGATATCGAATTAATAATATAAAAGGAGTAAATAGTAATAATAATAATAATAATAGTAATAATAATTAACAACCATGTTAATAATGTATCAAGATACTGTAACTTTATAGCCTAAGTAAAAAGTAGTTTCGATAAAATGGTTATGTGGTGCAAATTAATAGCGATGTGAAGTTTTTACCTTCCATTTTATGTTCAATTGTAAGAAAAAAAAAAAAACACAATTAGTAGATAATTTGTTTATTTATCGAATAAATATAGGTAGGTACACCAAGTCAATTATTGCAAGAATACAAACATTGATGTAAAAAAAAAAAAAGCTTGATCAATAAAATATAAAGTAGAAAAATTATAATAGGAGTTATAAGAAATTAAGTGGTAAGATGATAGAAAAACATTTAATCTTATTGAGAGAAGTGACATCTTTAACTATAACGCTAATATTGTAACGATATCGGAAAAACGATATTCCAATGACAATTTATAAAGGTGGAGAGAAAAAAATATTCAAACGATAGAAAAAATGCATTACAGAAATAGCGATGACGCGCAAACATGAAAACTGCACGTGTGGAATGACGAAATAATTTKAAGTATTAATTATGGTTACGAATGTGAACACACAAAAACCACTTATATCAGATATTTACCACCAAAATGGACAAAATCCTGAATATATTTTAAAAGACTGTGTGATGAATTATGATCCCCATTCCGCAAAATAGTAAAGATTATGAAGGTAGTTTTATATGAGATTATATGTTTATAAGAGATTAAAGAACTAAAGAAAGGTGTTATATAATTTAATGATTAAGTATGATGATATTAACGATTAAAAGTGATCCTTAAATAGTGCTCGGGATAAGACACTTTTTGAATATTTACAACAGATACTCGAACAATGTATTATACACTGTAACAACCTAAGTGTATTGTTAAATAATATATTTAATTTTATAATTCCCAGGTATATTTCAAATCTATTACTATGATCCAGGGCGGTTAACTTGTGTCTTATTATTATTTCATTCATTTTTTTTTTGGCATACATTTATAAAAAAAAAAAAAAATTTCTATATAGAATACATTAGCCAAAAAACTTTAATTAATAAACGTGAAAAATTAAAATATAAACTTTAAGCTAAATTTATTCGCTTGGATTTTTTTTTCGTAACAGCACTTTTTAACACAGTTTATTTTAACGGAAACATAATGTATTGGGATTCATTAGATAGCCTGTAATCTAATAAAAAAATAAAAATTGAGCTGATTCTATTAAACGTTAATTGATATATTTATCGGCTGTTAGCCATCATTATTTATAAAAATTATAAAATGTGTTAATGGACATTTTGGATCTTGATATCATTGTATTTATCCATGCGGCTCGCGAACATATTACATTGGCCCCCCTCCTTTATTCTATATAATAATAATTGATGAAAAATAATATAAAACTTTATTGAACTGGRTGGATTTATCAAAACATGAATTTTTCAGAATAACTTAACAATATTAAAATATCATATACAACACGACATGATGCATTATTATGTATAATATTTCTATTTTTTTTTTTTTTTAAAGTTCTGTATCATACATAAGAAAAACTGGCATTTGACAGATATCGGTCACGGTTGTTTACTTACGCGTAGACTAAACGATAAAATTATATTGGTATGTTATGAATTATGATAGATGTTACTGCTATACTACGTCAGACAAAATAATAGGAAAAATAAGGATATATTTTAAAAACAGCTATTTATATATTATCCCTCAGTGCCTTCGCCCAGAGGTTTTTATCAATATATAGTAATTGAATATTTTATATTTTATTTATTTTTTCTATAAATGCGCACCTATACCTTCTATTCAACTGTTTGCCGATTAAACAGTTTTAAATTAAAATATAAAACATGGAAAATACTAAAAGCTAAAAGAAAAAAAAACATGGAAAATATGTACCTAATATATGTATTATGTAATATATATTTATATATTTTTTATCATGTATTCACCTACATATATTATCATAAATGAATTGTATTTTTAAAACATGCCAATAACTTTGCATACAAATGTTAAAATATGTAAATATTTTCATATATATGCGAAGTAAAATATGTATGAAACTAAAACTTGGTATCATATTACATAATAGTTCAATAACTCAAAGAATGTATGAAACGTAAAGCAAGAAGAGAAAATGACCCGATGAAAAATTGACCGAAATCCTAAATTATAAACATACTTAAATTTAGTTTGGAAAATCCTTTGGTACTTCAAAAAGGGACAGTATCCAAAACACGCAATATTGAAAATATATGGGAAACAACTAAGCCGATTAGAGTGATATTTTAAATAAATGAGAAGACAGAAAGGTTGGCAAAATATCTATATAAAAAGTCAAAGCGTTTGTAACATACAATCTTCAATTAAAGCTTAATACCATTAAGACCTTCCTTTTGAAATTAGATTTTACTTCAAATKCGTTAAATCGAAAATAATATACTGTGAAATTTAAATTAATGTCGATAAATATATATTCGACAGCTACCAACCATAAAATTGTGAAAAYAAATTAACATCCACAAATATGAAACATACCTAATCAAATAATTTCTCAAATATTTAAGTCATTATATTATAATACCTACTAATGATACACGTATAACATATTTTTAAAGTATTTTATTCATACCTAATCAACTACTTAGAAATAAACAGTTAGGTTACACTTCAGCTAAAAATAATATTAAACCTAATAGAAAATATTATATTGTTATCACTAATCAAGTATATAATATGTATTAACCATTTACAATAATTTCATAAACTCAACTAATATATTTGTACTTACCCATTTTCCGTTAATAGCTTTCATTGAACCCAGTAGTAATTTTAACTCTTTTACAGTTATACTGAAACTAGCAAGCACTCCAAGCATATCAATCAGAAGATCTGCAAACATAGAAGTAAACAAACAATTAGAAAATATAAATAAAACTGAAAAATAAACAACGACATTAACAGTAATACAGACAATATATAGACAAATTATAAAAATTTAAAAATTACTACAGGAAGATGAGTTATAACTATATAGGTAATAAGGGATTGGTTAATATTTTRCATTAATTTATAAAAATTAAGAAAAAATGTAGTAATTAATGCCTAGTTATAATAATTTTAACATGGCTTAATACATTTCTTAATGTACCTAGTAAAGTAAAATCTGTCAATACAGTAGGTAATAATCTGTGCATATATCATTGTATGTACGAGGAAAAAGATTATGAGCGGAGACAGTCTGTCAGCCTACATAAAGTATATTATTTATTGATAGGTATTTCTTTTGATAATGTTATTGAATACAAAGACTTTTTCAGCGACTATATCAAAAAAATGTATTTACCAAACACTAAATATATCGCTTTTCACTGTACCTGTAGTGCATGATGGTGGTCATTCATCACGTACTATATTATTATTCAATTATTGTATATACTAAAATGCATTGCACTTATCTTAGCACGCATCAGCATGCAAAGTTGTACGAATATTATGTTTTCTAAATAACAAGATAATAAAATAATAAAGAATGAATTTGTCGTACAAAATATACAAGAGTAATTTKACAACCTTTTTGGAAATGCATTTGTAATTTTCATCAAAATAAAGATTTGCAATTAACACTATTTCGGGTAGTAAAAAATATGAACTATAATTTGCATCAAAATTAAAATCGATTATTTTTTCGATAATATTCACACGTTTCAATAATAAATCATAGGGAATCCGAAATTGTGTTAACGAAAAGWCAATAACATAGAACATTCCATTTTAGATTCCAAGCGGTTATTTCACTAACCTATATTCACATCGTTTCGCGGTACATAGTATAATGACTCTAAAGCTACCTATACCTAATAACAATAAAATATGAAAAATATAATAGTACATAATACTAACTATAAAAAATGATTGCCAACCAAAACAATAAACTCAGACAAATAAAACTATTAACCAAAAAATGGCCGGACCCTCCAGTCAAGCTTACACGACATGAAGAGACCATGATCGCCAGAGTACGCATCGGACATACTAGAATCACCTATTCCTATCTTATGCGTAGAGAGCTCAAACCCAGGTGTGAAACATGCAACTGCGAACTCACCGTTAATCATATATTCCTAGAATGCCCCACTTACCATAACGCCAGATCAAAAGCAAACATAAACACCTCCTCACTCAAAGACGCACTTAGACCGGGACAAGAAAAAAACATAGTAAACTTCATCAAGATGGCCGACCTTACAACCAACATATAAGACAAGAAYCAAAGACAGCACATCACAACTATCAAATCTCCATTATATTATAAATTAAACATGTAAACCATTGTAGGCTAATAAACATTTGTATTTGAAGCCTTTAGGCTTTAATTAATAAAAAAAAAAAAAAAGATTGATAATAATAATATACAATAGTATATGAAAATGAAATATTAAATGATTATTTCTATCAAAAATTAATAAATAATATGTGATACTGTCTATAATACATTAATAYCTAACAAAATGACAGGTCGGAAGTAAAAATCATTGTAATTATATTATGATGTTTACCATATAAAACGACCGATGATTCGAAATCCCGAAATATTAATATTTCCATTCGATTCCGTCAACAAACATTAAGCATGCTTGCGGAATACTTGATAATCGACTTTACACGTGGCTGCTACTCATTTTAGTGTAAATTTTAAACACATTATTTTCAACTACCAAAGAAAGTGAAAATCATAAACCTTTATTTTAGTCTAAATAACAAACATCATTTGAAGATATCGGCAGTGTTGTAAATTACGTAATATCTTTATTTTAGTTTATATTACGAATTCCCACATCAACAACTTAAATAATGGTATTGATATCTTGGATTCTGAGCATGTTGATGGTTTTACATTGCGATGACTATATGTGTTTATTGTGTCCATTGTGTCACATTTTGAAACAGTGAAAATGCTTTAATCTTAAATTGTGTTGATGATTTGTGATAAAACAATGCACTGATAATGGAATGGTAAAAAAAAAAAATGGGAATGGGAGAAAAGTAAAATTCAGTACTAGTAAATATTTCAAAAAAAAAAAAAATTAGAGAAAAATGGGAATATTTATTTCAGTTTTTAACAATTCGATTAATTGTTGTTGTTGTACAAATCAATAGAATATAACATGAAATTTAAAAAAAAAATCTTAAATCTTAACGTAAGGTTAATATAGTTTGTTAATTTATAAGCTAATCACAATAATATATGATAATATGTAATATTAATTACAGAGTAAATTTTCTATGCTATTTTTTTGACAAAAAAAAATGCTTTAAAATACCGTACCCAATACCAATAGTTATTTAAATTTTTTAAAATGTCCTTATATGCTCAGAATTGTCTTGCATTGCATTGCATTGTGCAATGCCCAATTTTTATTATTTCATTTAGATTAAACACATATATTACAGAGGTCTATAGGCTATAATATGCGTATGATTATACGGAACCTCTTGACTTGACTACTGTAGTCAAAAACAGGAATTTTGTTATTATAAAAGCCATTATTTCTGATTAATTTAGGTACTTTTGGTGTAGCACAGACGTCATATAATGTATCGACTAACTGTTTGAGTCCTTATTCTAGGTGAATATAGTCCTCTTATACGATTCACACATTTAAAGTAAATATACATATTATATGTAACTTTGACAAGTGGAAGGACTTTTGAGGACGATGTAAATCTATTTAAATACACAAAATAAAACCATCATTACAAAATGGACCGACAACCACGACCGATATCGTGATTGCAACGTATCAGTTTTTATATTTGCATAATGGTTATTTAATATTATGTATGTACAAATTTACCTTTCAGTTGCAGTATCGCATACATGTTCGCTAACCATTTTTTAGCGGGTTTGTGTTCACGAATGGTGGTCTTATTAATCAATATATGATGTGAATTATTAGTTTATTGRATACAGTTTTTTTGTATRCAGCATTTGCAAACATTTTTTCATTGAATATTTTATTTTTATAATTAAAATTATATGATATTATGATATAGATATGAAACGATTACAATAAATATCAACAAAATCTATAATATATACTCGAATAAAGAAACTTATATTAATTTTCGGGATCCCTTCAACTAATATGTGTACAAAATCTGGTGTTAATAATTAGTAAAAAACTATAAATTTGTATGTGTGTCATTTTGATCTAACACGATTATAGCAATATCTGTATTAGGTGTGACTATCAGAATCGGACTATCTATAATAATCGATAAATCTATCGTTTCAGTTGAAATATTCCCTGCAGTTATTGGTTTTTGTCAAAATTGATTGAGTATTTTTCAATATATAAGCTTCAATTCATACACGACGTTTYCTATATTCTACCTATATATTATATAATATCACGCAGCAGYTAGCTGTTACTCAATTTTACATTTGTACGTATAAYCTTGTTTAGTATAAATGACAAAATAAAATTCAATACGGAAAATTATATTCAATCATATCAACTTTTTTATTTTATGTAACCAAAGGCAACCCTATATACGTATACTTTTATACGAATAAAAAATATTCAAAATTCATGACGTGATATAAAATACATGTTACTACTTTACTAGTGAGCCATCCTATAGCATCAYATATGGGTTAAAAAAACGAAACTGAAAACCCTGTCCAAGCCTCGAGGAATATATTGACATAACTTTTAGCGAAAACGGTCCAGTAGTTTTTGAGTCCATATAGAGAACGAACGAACGAACGAACGAACAAACAAACAAACAAACATTCATTTGTATACCGGCACGGATGTGAGACGTCCATAGAATACATCACGAATTCACGACATAGAGCTATTAGCAATAATGTACCACACCCATAGAGCTCCACATATTGAGTGAATCATACAGACCAACAATGCCGTAGAATGCACACAAGAAAACGGCTATACGATACATACTAACATTATAACTATCCATCATCATTTAGGGAGTTCATATCATTTAATATCATTTAAATATTGTGTCTTAAGCATAAATAAAGGGTCCGACAGTTTCACAGAATTTCTTCGAGTYTCCGGCGGATTCCGAAATCATGGCTTATTCGCCATGGGAAAWTTATACGACTAAATTCTGGTTGCGGTAATTATTAGGATGTGCAGTGTTTTAGAAACTGAGCGCGGCTTTTGTCCTAAGTGCATTTTGCACATTTGTGCGGCAATTGGGCAACGCCCCAGCTGCAGACGCACAGATTAAAAGATATGATTTTTATATAAAGATAATAATATAAAACAGTAGTACAGTTATCGCGTTCGCTGTTGAAAATCGTAAYGAAATGATCTCTGCGAGGAAGATATATAATAATACATGAATGAATACGAACGATGGTGTTTCTGCAGGGACGTATATGAAYAATGCTTTCGTCGATATTTGCAGTTCGCATTACTAGGTATCTACATATTATTATATTTGTATTATTTTTTACGAATGGTCGTTGATTAATTACTATTTTACCCTCGAGAATATTATCAGTAATTCCTGCATTTAAATAAATCTATATAAATTAATGAATAGAATTTTAATTGCCTCAATGTAACGTTGAAGCAACGGCGAGAAAGATATACAGTAGCTGGATTTTATATGACCTAYCTATATATATTTATGTCCTAAAAACAGAACTCGAAACATATAATAATATTATTATTACCAAAAGTGAAAAAAAAAAATAATTATAACTATACTGATAAAGAGGAATAATTATACGGACCGCTTGAATGTGTATAATAACTGTTGGTGCGTGCACACTATAATTTTGCATAATATATATCATGTACGTCCTAAGACCTAAATGTACGCCGTATAAGCGAGTCTCAAATATTATA